GCTATTTGATGACACGTCAACGGCGACTACAACTTAAATGCTCAACTAAATAACAATTACTGCGTCTCTCAGTGCTACAGCCACCAAGGAGTTGTTCATATCGCATTTGACAAAGTTTCTGAAAACTGCCGGAGGAAAAGTGTTCCAAATTTGGTAGCGAATGTGAAAATCAACACAAATTACCAGGTTGAGGCCCCAGGGTGCCAAAAATATTTCTTTCCATTTTTTCTGAAACGATCGCTTTTCCTGTGTTCCCAAATTACACAGCCACCCCGTGTTTCTTCGTTGCGTTTCATTTTTGTATGATGAAAGTGGTTGGCAATCCTTAATTTTCCCCCTTCAGGCTATCACAAATGGAAAGCAACCGTTGGATTCAAAATAGGGCGTATCGTCGCAAAAAAGACTGAGCAAGCGCCACGTAGTCACACTGCTTGAGATTTAGTCGAAACTACGCAACGGCTGACAATTTTCTCTGCATCTTGTAAGAATCGAAACTAAAAAAGACACAGTGTATTTAATGCTAGTGGAAGAAAACAATAAAATCTTGAATCTGAGTTGTACAATAAAGAAGAAATCATGCGATATACATATTTAATCGTAACGTTATGAATACATGAATAATAACAGATTCTGGAGGTTCTAGAAGAAACAATACTCATTCAACGAAAATTGCGATAAGTGACCAATTAACAAGGTAACAAGATATAAACGACTTCAAGGAACGGACCAGAATCGAACCAGAAACGAATCCATGCCCACGAACATGAATTTCAATTGAAGAGTTAGGCTGCTGCAGAGCTACGCCACCCACTTGGTGCAACAATAACGTGCTCCAGCGGCAACTTTTCGCTATTCGCTTTTGGCTATAAACCAACACTGACTCTGCCCTCCACCAAGCAAATTGCCAGGGGGACGTGTCCCCGAAGTTCGGATGGGCGTGGCCTCTCCCCGAATGAGCTTCGGGGACGGATAGCATACGACTTAGGGGACGCATCCCCTTCCCCGAAAGCATAGCATACGGCCCAAAGTGCTGTAAGTAAACAACCACCATGCCTTGGATGTCAGCGTGATTTAGCGGTCGAATAATATTTGATGCTAATGATGTTGAAACAGAAATGCCCATTGATCATTATCGCATTTCTTCAGACAGCCTCTACACACATTCGCAGGAAATTTAGGCAAAGTAGCGGTCGAAGGGAGTATGGTGCTGACGATGGAACGCAAATGAAATATTAGGTTGTCTCAGAAGTTCGTGCGTATTTTGAACTTATTTTTGAGCCCGCTCTTTTCCAAGCACATGTGCAACCTATCATCGTTATATGTACCACCACTATCAGTGACTTGTTACCAACATCCAACCAAGGAATGGCTATTCAACTCTCAAAAGGCTGGCAGTTATGAGCTGGAAAAGGCAGTGAGGTTGATTTTGAGGTGCTCGTGGGAATTGTATTTTTTGTCGGCACGAAGGCGGCTGAGCAGAAAGGGCAGATGTCTTTCGAAAGAGGATGATTACCGCTGCACGATGAATGTGGTAGGACTTTTCAGCTAAGCTTCGATATTGAGAATCGCTTCATTTTCGAAACGTGTAGTCTCAGGTGTCGTGGAGCGTACACACTTTTTTTGAGTTTTGACGGCAGTTGTTGGACTTTCACCGTGAGTCTCTGCCGTTGATCTGCCTACACATGAGTGAATTCATAGCTATAATGATTGACATGCCTTTAGTGGTTTACTCGAGAACGCACCAAAAGAGGTGGAGCACGACCTTGTGGTGAATTTCTTCACTTTTCACCCTCTTCTGTTCGATCCAGTCCCTGAGGATTCTAGGTGTGGTTATCATGAAACCTGAGCTTCTCAACTGCAGTAGTGGCTTTGTTCAACCAGGGCGTACGGGTGGAGTAGGAACCAAATTATGGACGGAGTGCGTGTCGCACTCCTGTCATCGGTGGTCAATTCATGGGGGAATCTTTGGCGAGGCTTCAAGCATATTTCGAAGGAGCGAGAACCTTCACGAATTGTGCATCTGGAACATCAGGATGTGGTGGCCACAAAGCAGGGAGCCCCGTGTGGAGTGGCTCCCAGGAAAGAGTACAGGCTCTCCAAATCCGACACTGATGACCTCTCTGAACGAGGGTTTGTCTACCAGCTGTAGTCTCCCAAGCAGAGAAGATCCAGCTATTCTGATACCTCACTGTTGGTGAGGGCAAGGAGATGCACCGCGATGCAGACGCCGCTTTTGGCTTCAATCGGTTTGTGGCTCAGTAGAGCTGCTTACGTCAGAGCGCGAAAAACATAGCTCTTCTCTCTTTCCACTTTGAGCTCGAAGAAGGCGACGATGGTGGGTAAGATTCGGGTATAATTTACTACACGGTGTGCCCTATCTACAGCCTACGTGAACATATTTAGAATTTGTTGAAGGAGCTTGTGGCATGAGATCCAATAAATACGCACGAACTTTCGAGACAACCTAATAATGAAATAGGTGGTGATTCGTATTTGGTATCAGGTTTTAATGCAAATTAATGTTCTTACTTACATCGTTATTATCAGCGCTTATCAACTATTATCATTCTCGGTTCACTACCAAATATGTTCCCGTCCACACTCTACATCACTTGTTGAATCCTACGCTTCACTGATACTGTGACACGCGTTATTCATTCGATGACACTTGCGTTCTAGCGCCCTTTATCAGTCCTTATCAGCTGCCATCAATTCCGTCCCCCTTCCTCACTAAACATGTTATCCCCACCCTCCACATAACTTCTTGGAACAAATACTCCACTAATGCTGGAACGTCTGCTATCAATTTCGTGAAATTTGCGTTCTAGAGCCTTAGCCTTAGCGTCGCTATCATTTTTTTGACAACTACCACATATGTATGTTTCCGTTCCACACCCTGTAACATACTTGAAATGCAGCGCTCCACGGCTGCAGCGAAGCGCGCTGTGAATTTCGTGACACACACACCACACACACACACGCACACACATACACACACTCAGCGAATTATATGTGAGTTGCTCTATCACTTTTGTTTTCAAATGATGAGAGAACAAAGGTGGATCACAATGAGCGTCACAATTTACCTCAATCAAGGTGACCTCAGCACTGTTGTCCAAACTTGAAGACGCTTAAGACGTGATCGCGAGCCTATGTCCAGCTTATCGTTTATATGTATTCAAAATTCGGCTTAAGGGTTCGCTGAATTTTCTGTTGTGGAAGAGCCATTAGCATCAGCGTCGTCAGGTGTCATTACGATGGTGATGATCAGCGCAACCTTGAGCGAGCGTTGAAGTGAATAGACTTTTTGCTGGGTTTTACTTAGCTGAACGTTCGTGAACGTGAAATGAAAAGCAAAAAGGTCTCTCAAAGTGAAACCGTAATGGCAACCGAGGAAACACGCAGCGCGACGGAGAGGATGCAGAGCGTTTTTGTTCACCGCCCGCGTGCCCTTTACCCTGTGAAGGTGAGTGTACTGCCATTAGAGGGGTATAAATAGTGGTAGAGCTGATGTGGCAAGCAGTTCGCCATCATGAGTAAGGTGATCGTGATCGGCTCGGCGGCCACGCTGGCCTTCATCGTATGCTCCCTGGTCACTATGGTGTCGCTTCTGAAAGAGATCTCCGACCTTCAACTCGAGGTCGAAGTCGGCATGGATGAGTTCAAGGTGATTCTGCTATACTTTATTCTAATTTAGAAGTTCTTTAAAGATCTCTGTTATGCTCGCAGTGTCTTTAGGTCCACCTAGGATGTTATCAAGTTTCAGGGAATCACCGAAGACACTTGGAGCCGTATCATCACCAAGCACGTAAACCCGACCGGAAGCTCTGACGCACCACCGGACTTTGGCACTCTGTTCGGACGTCGCCAGCAACGTGCAGCTGGCTTCCCCGACCAATGCAACTGTGGCGCAAAGTCGAACGGTTGTCCAGCAGGACCCCCTGGACCACCTGGACCAAAGGGGCATCCTGGAGAGCCCGGTGCAGATGGCGAAGACGGTAGACCTGGTGCTCCGGGTGTTGCCCTCGCAGTCACTCATGACATTCCTGGTGGATGTATCACGTGCCCTGCAGGTCCGCCTGGACCACGTGGACCTCCTGGAGAACAAGGACCTCCCGGACCACCTGGAGCATTCGGTCACCGCGGACCACCTGGTGCGCCTGGTCCCGTTGGAGAAATGGGTCCACAAGGTGATGAAGGACAACCGGGAGCACCTGGCCGTCCGGGACCACCCGGTCCTCCTGGAGAAGTTGGAACGCAGTACTCACAAGGTATGCCCGGTCATCCCGGTCCTCCAGGACCACGCGGTCCTCCGGGAGAACAAGGTCAGCCTGGAGCCCCCGGAAGCGACGGAAAGCCAGGTCCGCAAGGCCGCCCAGGTCACCCTGGAAAGGACGGACATCCCGGCAGAAACGGCACACCTGGCCAGGTTCGTGAAAAGCTTTGCGTATATACAAGTCGAAATATTGATGCATTTTCTTGTTTCAGAGAGGAGAGAACGGAAAAACTGGGCCAGATGCCGAGTACTGTCCATGCCCACCGCGCCGAAAGCGCCGTCTGTAGACCGATTGACTGTAGTCTTGCCAAACGTGGCTGCATACAGTCTACTGAGAATGAACATTCTGCACACATCCTGCTTGTTAAACAAAACAAGAGAATACCATTGACCTTCATTGTCTGACAAACCACTCTGCGTGCTTGCTGTGATCCCATTACATAGCTGAAAAAATCTGGAAGTTAAAACCCACCTAACACCATTCCTGGAACTAGTTTTGAGTGGCGTCGTTTTTCCGTATTAGGATGGGCTTATCATTTTTTGCGAGCTCCTCAAGTCGAAGGTGATTCATGGACAAGTGGCGATACCATGATCTAGTTACCAAACTTCCTTGGAACGCTCAACCAGAACAGCCAAGCCTGATTAAAGGCATTCGCCGGGTAAAACTGGTGATAAAAGCACTTCGTAGTGATGACTGAGCTGAGGAACGACCTGAAAGTGGAAAAGGAAAGCAAGGAAATCTTTGGGAAGTCAACCTTCAAAAAGGTCGGATGTGGAACGATGCGAGGCAGGGCGGTCAAAGAAGACAAAACACGCGAGAGATCACGCCGTTCGAGAGAGCACGCCGATATCGAGGTGGGTGGGAAGCGTTGCAACGGGGGTCGATGGTTGCAGGCCCGTAAGGATTAGCGCCCTAACCGCGCAATTTTTGCGACGAAGCTGGAGTGATCTAGGTAGGTACGGACCTTACAATTCCTCGCGGTATCCTTCCCACAAGTCAGGCTAATCCCTAGAGAGGCTAAAGTTAAAGCTGAAGTTTCTAAAGGCACAGTTCATGACGAAAAGGCAGCTCACCGGAATCAAAGTAGATGTGATCAGTTGTGAAGTTATGAAAAAACATGAGAAACATTCCAGAACCCGAGAAATGGGACCTTCTATTTTGACCTTCGTTTTCCGCCTCAACACGGCTCTTACCGTTGCTGTTCTCTTCAACGCTCACGCTCTCTCCGTCAAACAGCTAAAGTTAGACGACGAGGGGTTAACTATCGGGCAGACATAGTTGAGTACGGCTCTACTAGACCGATCTGACCATCTTGGGGGCCCGCTCTTCCTTGGCCCTGACCTTATCGTGGAATTTTTTCAACCCATCGCGTACCGCAGCGTTTTTTTTTTGCTGGTTTGATGTTTGGTGTCATTGACGAAAGATTATTATACCTCTCATCACTAACAACTATTCAAACGTCAACCACGCTTTGCTCACCAGTAGAACAGCCTTCATAAGCACCCCGGAGCCAGCTCCTGGGGATTCGTGGTTAGCATACGGCACCCGCCCTTGCTGTGCTGCGACCTCGGCAGTTGGTCATTTTGAGAGCTCGGTGGTTCGTGGTCTTAATATACATACTCAAAAGCCTTCTATGTGGCCTATTAGTGTAATAAAAAACCATTTATAACGCACTGATCTCTAATTTTCTCAACACCTTTTCTCCTGATCTTATGGAGTTTTATCTCAGTTGTCTTACCCTAGCTAATAAGTAAGGTCAATCGGTTGGGAATTAGTAATTGCAACTGTGCCATACATTCTGTGATTGCTCAGATTTGTTTCAATGTCCGGAATCCAAGTTCTCTGCGCTTGTCCCTGTGCGACAACCCATCTTCCTCGATCACGTCAAGCGCTCGGTTCCGCTTTGAAGGCCATTCATTAGCCATCAAAAAAGCTACCGCATAAAAACTATGAAACTGTTCAATGCACTGAGCGAATCATCTTGGAACCATCGGCTGGTTCCGACAAGTGGCGATGCATTCTACCAAAGACTTTCGTCTTCGGCCATCAATCATCTGCAGAAGAAATGCAGGGATAGAAAGACTACGTATATCAACTGCAGAGAAATAAACCGCATCGCCAGCCAAAAGCAATTTCTATGACCAGCAACCCATGCCGCATCTCAGAATTGCTGGGCGTGACCAGGTGTAGAATTTTTTATGAATATTATAAAAACAGGAGCAGTGTTGTCTTGCCGTTCTTCCTTCGATCGACGATCACACCCCCCTCCCTCTCCTCAAGGTATCTCGCATGACCCACCACCAGCATTCGAACAGATGGAGTCTTTATACAATCCCCACATTCGCCTACCTAAAGGATTCCCCTATCACCACCCTCACGCATGAATTTTTTATAACAAATGATTCCGAGATCACGTCCACACTCCAACTTCGTTACAAAATTCTCACCTTTTCTTCTAATTCGAAAAAGAATGGAAGGGGAAATGAGTGTTTGGTCTATATAAGTGTTGAGACGGCGACTCTTCAAAGATCCTATGCTGTTGTCGTAAATTTGTGAGAAACCCGTCAGAAACGGCCCCGTTCCCCTTTTAGGAGCCTTTTAGGAGAGTTCGTGGTCGTGGATATTGAGAGGTCCTACAGCAGGACTCCTCACTTCCCAGGACCATGACCTTTCTTTGAATCCTATATTCGAGACTCTTTTCTCCACTACGAAAATCCAGAATAGATTCCATGGAGAAATCCCAAGTACACACTCTCTCC